CAAACAGGTCTGTCCTGGAGAGGGTGAAGCCGGAATGCTCCTTGGAGTCAAGGATTCTGAAGCTTTGTCTGACATACTTTGGGCATGTTGCAAGGACCAGTCGGTCCTTAGAGAGGGACATCATGTTTGGGAGAGTGGAGGGGTGACGCAGGAGAGGAAGACCCTCTACGAGATGGATCGATTCTGTGAGTGGAGTGGTGGGAATGAGCGTGTTTGAGACGGCGAGGTTGGCACAGGATAGAATGGCATTTAGGGCTCTTGTACATAGGGTCGCTATGAGTCGCAAACGACTCAATGGCACATAACAACAACAACCAGTGTCATCTCATTCTTGGGCTTGTTGACGAGGCTCATGGTCCAGGCTGCGTTCTCGAATCACTCCCATTCCCTCCACATTGCTTCTTCTCCTCTGAGACATAAATTCTAACCCAGGCTCTGCTGCTACTGAAACTCCGGGTTAGGAGCCAGTCAGGTCTTCTGCCTCAGTCTCCCTACAGGGAAGTTCCTCAAGTGACCTAGAAGTCCCTTTCACCTGAGCGTGCACAGTCTATTATTTTAATGGCATTTCCTCTCCCCTCCCCACCGCCCCACTGTAATCACTGGTCATCTGAGATCCAATAAATGGCTAGACTTGGAGGATTGGAAAGGGGTTAGCAAGAATGGTGACCAGTGTGTCAACATTATGGAGTGTTAAACCTAAAAGTGCTCCCTTCTTACTCTTAGTAAAATTTGAGATTGCTCTCACATCTGGCTTGGTGGCCATTTGGACCCAGTTTGTCTTGTAGCAGAGAGGGTGCCCCAGGCTTGGAGAGTTCAATTCAACAAAGCCTCAGAGAGCACACCCTAAGACAGATCCTGTGCTGAGTGCAAGTCTCCTCACAGAATCTTTCTTTTCCAGAAGCTTATATTTGTGTGCTGGCAGAAGGGATGTCATAGGCAGCTCTAGTGGCCTGTAACCACCTGTGTAAGGGGCTGTGCTGTCAAGGCAGGCAGTTCAAATCTATTAGCTGCTCTGAGGGAGAAAGATTGACAATCTCCTCCTGTGCAATTTACAGCCTCTGAAAATCTGCTGCAGAGTCGGCTGTCGATCAGTCCTGACTCCATAGCACGCAACAACAATAATGTGGGCTAGGGAGCTCTGGAGAGCTAGTGGGAAGGAGTTGTTCTGCCAATCCAAAAGCTTCTGAAAACCCGCTAGAGGGTCAGCTGAATCATTCAGACTCAACAGCAATGAGTGTGAGTTTTATTTAGTTTGTTGGTGTAATGGGTTATGGGTTGGACAGCTAACCGGAAAGCTGACAGTTTGGATTCACCAGCTTCTTCAGGGAAGAAAGATGAATAGTCTGCTCTGGTTAAGATTTATTATGTGGGAAACCCAACAGAGGTTCTCTATGAGTCAGAATTGCCTTGATGGAAGCGTGTAGAGTAAGCGTAAGAGGCAATGATGTTTCAGTGACAGAATTCTCACCTTCCATGAGAAGACTTGGGTTTGATTTCTGGCCATCAGTGCCCTCACCACTGGAAGTGAAAAATGTGTATGTTGGATAGACTAGGGAGAAAGGCCTGGAATCAGCAGACGGAAATCTTTATGAATCACGAGAATTGGATGCTTCCCCCTCTCCAAGACTTCTTGGAGAACTTAATGTAGGCGTTTCAGGGGTGGCCCAGGTGGTGTTGGCAGACATGGGACAGGGGCTTCTTGCCCCTCTTCAACCAGAGTCACTCTTGCTTTTTATCTGCCTTCAGGGCATGCCTTTTCAAGAGAATAAGCTAAGTCCTAGCTCTGGCCTAGAGGCACACACTTGTCTTCAGTGCCAAGGACGATTTCCTGGAAGTAGCATTTGCAGGGAGGAGGTCTAATCCTAGGTTAGAGGCTCACGGGAATTATGCATTTCCTCAGGGAAAAACTGTTCCTTTTCATATTGATTAGGTAGAAATTTTTTTTTCTTGGAAAACTGGAAGTTAATCAGTGTCAGAGTGGGAGAAGGGTAACGGGAAATTTTGTAAACCTGGTGTTAAATTGGAGACCTTCTGCCCCTGGAGACTGTTGAGTTGCCAGATGAAGCTTTAGATGGGAGGAGGCAGCCAGCAGAGGGCAGCAGTGAGACGGCAAGCAAAGAGGCGGAGGAGGTCCCCTGCCATCTGTGAGAGGGTAATTTGAGAATAATTAGGATTGTGCTGAGAGAGTTCTTTTCGGTTTACTGTAAAGCCAAATGCATTCTACTTTAAAAAAAAATTCTTTTTTAACATTTATTTGATGTTCAAATACGTGTCTTGTAACTCTAAATAATAATGCTTAAAGCCTGTAGGGAGCTGCACTGCTAAGCCAGTTGCAGCGCCTCTTCGGTGGTTCGAATCCTTCAGCAGCTCCAAGGGTGACAGATGGCTATCTCCCTCGGAAATCGGATGGTAGGTCAGCTATGAGTCCGATTCCATGGCAATGAGTTGATTTTATTATATGTCAGGCTGCTAACTGGCACATGAACGTTGGGTTTGAATCATCACAGGACAAAAGATGAAACTTCCCAGGAACCTACTATGCGTCGGTTCTGATGGGGCAGGAATGAGGGAGCATCGTTGATTATTTTCTCACTCCATATCAGACAGTGGCTTAAAAAAAAGAAGTTTATCTATATTTTCTGTTAATCTTGCAGCTAATGTGCTGTGGTTGTTGTTGTGTATCATCGAGTCAGAACTGACTCATAGCTAATCCTCCAGCAGTTCTTCTGAGGTTGTAAATCCCACAAGAGTAGACTGCCCACCTTTATCCCAAGGAGCACCTGGTGGATTTGAACCTCTTGCCTTTGTAGCACAGTCCATTGCTCAACTCCATTTTACAGATAAAGAAATTGAGGGACATATATATTAAGTGCATGTCTAAATCACTGAGCCAGGAAGTGACAGGCCTGTGACGCAAACCCTGGAATCTGAGTCTCCGTAAAGCCCGTTAGTGAGTGAAGGGGGCAGAAGGGATCTGGGCAGGGCACACCCTTTACTGGAGCTGTGGAGACTACTAAACGCTGGCAAGTGTTGCATGCAGAGAAAGGAGCTCTCAACCCTAGACCATCCTGAATCTGGCCTTTTAATGTTGTTGTTGTTGTTGTTGTTGTTAAGCGCTATAGAGTCGTAGATGACCCATAGCAACCCTATGAACAAAATCCTTGAACACAAAACTTTCATCTTTTCATAGAGTTTATAGAGTTTCTGGTGGCAAACTTTTTTGGAAGTGGATGCCACTCCTGCTTCCAAGCCTGTTTTATGTAGGATAACCACAAAAACGAGGCCTGAGGGCCCAAAAGCCTTTTTAAATATGAGGTCAAATCCAGTCATCTCATACCCTATTACCAGCAACAGCCACACTCTAGTCTCAACCTCAAACCAGAAGACACACCTTTGCAAAATCTGGCCATTCTTCCCAGCCTGGAAATAACCCTCTTTTTAATGTGCTGTTTTTCAATTTTAAAATGTCACAACTGTTTAGGGCATTGAATCAACCACCACCTTACAATGTCCTCATGTGCAAAAAGCATCGTGGTGGTTTAAACCCACCTCTCCAGGAAAAGGATGCCACAGTCCGCTTCTGTAAACATTGCCATGGTTGTGTGTGACTGAGTTAGAACTGACCCATAGCTAACTCTCCAGTGTGTTTCCAGAGACAATAAAATGCAGAGGAGAAGATGGCCCATTCTTCTTCTGAGGAGCAGCTGGTAGGACCACATGCCTTTGGAATTGCAGTGCAGCTTCTTACCACTAGGCCATCAGAATTCCTTTAGAAACGTGGGGTAGGTCTACCTTGTCTCATAGGCTCACTGTGAGTCAGAATGTGTGTGGTTTTTATAAACCTTAAGTCCATGTTATCAAGTCCAATCCATGGTGCCCCTAATGTATTGAAAGAGAACTATGCCAAAAGAACAAACAAACAGCCAGAGTGCTCTTTGGAGGCAAAGATGATAAAGCTTCACCTCATATACTAGGGGCATGTTGCTAGGAGGGGCTATTGCTTGGAGACGGGCATGGTGCTTAGAAGGGTGGAGGGTCGGTGAAAGAGGAAGACTCTCAACCAGGTGGACTGACAGTGACTGCCCCAGTGGGCTCTAGTGTGTTAGGAAGTGTGAGGATGGCGCAGGAAAGGACAGGGTTCTGGTCTATTGTTCATGTTTGTGTCATATTAGACTTGATGGCACCTAACAACAGCATGCTTTATACAGTTTTCAGTGGCTGATTTTTCAGAGGTAGATTGCCAGGCCTTTCTTCCAAGGCACCTGTGCATGGACTTGAACTGCCGGCCTTTTGGTTAGCTGCAGCACACTTAACTGCTTGCACCACCCAGAGACACATTTCATGTATTAGAATTGTTTATAATACTCATGTTCTCCTTTCATACCTCTCTTGTTATCTCATGGCATGGAAAGTCTCTTGTTATGTGCTGTCAAGTAGAAACTGACTCATTTCATTGCTGACCCTGTAGTGGGTTTTCAGAGGCCGTAAATTGCAAGGGAGGAGATTTTCCAGCTTTCTCCTGCAGAACAGCTAGTGGATTTGAACCATGTGCTTTGGTGTTGACACTGCAGCTCTTTACTCTCTAGACAAGCAGAGTCCACACATAGAAAGTCCAGGAAACTTGTGTCCTGGTCCTGCCACTGTCACTAGCTTTCAGGGAAACCAGATAGGTGCCAGCAGGACCTCACCATCAGATGGGAATGAGAACATTGGCCCCACGTGCCCTGCAAGACTTCTATGAGGTGGTATGGAAACAAGCTATTAAAAAGTACAAGCCAGGGGGAAGGGAGGAAGAGAGAAGAAAATTAGCAATAATGAATGAATTTTTTTAATCCCTTAAAGTACAAGGCACTGCAGCAGGTGATGTCCAGACAGAGCTAATAAGCCTCCAGCACAGGTGCTCATATTCCGGCTTGCTGCCCAGGGGCCGCTCTATCTACTACGCTGCCCTTGCTAAGGCGCCTTTTCTGTTCTCTCCTCTTCTCCCCCTGGTCTAGGAGATGCGTCCAGTAGCCTGGCTGCGCTGGGCCTCCCTGTTGCTCCTGGTTACGTCTGCCCAGCCCTGTCCTCAGGGCTGTGACTGCATCATGTGGGACGTCTTCTGCTCCGAGGAGGGGCTGGCCGCTGTGCCGCTGGACATCCCACTCAACGCCACAAGCATCGTCTTTGTGGAGACCTCATTCTCCACAGTAGGCACCAGGGCCTTTCACGGCAGCCCCAACCTCACCAAGGTGGTCTTCCTCAACGCGCAGCTTTTCCACCTCAAGCCAGATGCCTTTGGGGGGCTACCCAGGTTGGAGGACCTGGAAATCACCGGCAGCTCTTTCTCCAGCCTCAACGCTGACATCTTCTC